AAGAAAATGAACAAACAATGAAGTTGAAACATGTGTGGCTTTGGAGATTGTGTGGAGTATATAATAAAGAACCAGTTGGCATTCTGTAGAGGTATTACTTCTTAAGAAACTTAATTCTTGTAATACAGTCATTCCCTTCATAGTTTTCTCATGTCTGACTTTGCATAAATACAAAATAATTTAATTACTATTCATCTTCCATTATTATGTAATCATTATGCTTTAGATGATCAAATGATTGGGCTCTGTACTGCACCTCTGTAAACTATCCTCCCCTTTTTGGCATCAAAAAGTTTCTTCCAAGAACAAACAAAACGTATTGAGGATATTGAGGATAAATTGCAAGATTGTCAATGCAGGAAATCAACTTACTAATACTCACAGAGCCTGGTTGGGGATAGGGTCTCTTACTAAGATATCAAATAAAATCAAATGTATTTATAAACAGCATGTTTAAAACAACCAGAGATGACCAAAGTGTTCTACAAATCAATCAATAGCAAATAAAAGACATTGAAATTAGAGATGCCAATTTTTTAAAGACCAAATACAAGTAAAATTATTAAAATATGGGTACTTGCCGATTCCAAGTTCTGTGGTTTTGATCAGACCAGAATGTTTAATCCTTGGATGTCATTAGACAGACACAGTAGAGCCACATAATCACAGACACACTAAAGACAGTGAGAAGCTAAACATTATACTCAGCAGTCTCTTGGTTTGTAATTCACTAACTCTCTGGTGGAGATGTTGGTGTGACGTAGTGCCCAAGTGCTTGATTGGTATTTCTGACTGTAACAAATTAAATGTTGCTAATGTTGTTGTAAAAGTTGCTTAAAATACCTCCAAACTGCTGACATTGCTTCTCCTCCACCTACCTGCTTAACTAACGTGACGTTACGCAATGTCACGCTGCAGGAAAGTGGTATCAGGTGCAGTATCAGAGTAGTTTTATGATTATGAGTACAAGAGCTTCTGCTACATAATTGAAAGTGGTAAAAAGGCACATTAACTATACATTAAATATATATAAATCTAAGCCAATATCAAATATGTGCAACACAAATGTAAAACAGAAACAGAATAAAACTTGTAAGAACAATATCAAAATAAACAATTATAAAATACTAAGAGCAAAATACATTTCACTGGACTAATAAAATCTATGTAGTGATTCAGATGTGTTATTGTGGATCACACTGTAGTTTCCACTAGAGACAGACATCCATCCCAGATCTTAAGCTTAAACTTAAGCATCTCTAAGTACCCAAACAAGACCATGCATTTTGTAATGCCTAATCTTGTTGACATATCATAGCACACATGACACAACCCAAAGCAAAAGGGATTATTTTAGTAATTACTTGTCAATAAAAGTCTGTGTCCATATGCTTGAGAGATGAAGTAGTGGCAACATACATGTAAATGGTCATTGACTCCAACATGCGCAGTGTTAATCATGAGTGAAAATCTATAGACACAGTTGATAGCCTGTGTTTCAACAATGAACACATGTTCTATTTAAATATAACCTCCGGCAAATACAATTTTATAGACTTTTTTTCACAATTATAGACAACACCAGTGATGCAATTCAAGATGCGACTGGAATGACTCATAAATGTGAGACAGGAGGTGAAATACATGGCGATGATATAATGAGGCTTGACAAACTAAAAATAAAGGGAAAAAAAATATAAATGGGCATGTCATTGGTACTGAAACTGAAATTTGCCATATTTTTTATATGATGCAATCAAGCTTCATACATTCCAGCTCAGTGTTGCAGTTTTGAAAGTTATAGTTCAATAGTCAGAAGTCTTTTTACTTTCTAAAAATAAAAAGCTTTTCCATACTTTTAAGACTTAAAAGCTATTCTAAAAAAAAGTTTACATTATTTTGAAATACTTAATTGTAATAAATAGGCTTATGCAACTTTTACTTTTAATATTTGTTCTCTGTGTCACTCTATCTGGCGTTCTCTGCTCAAATCAGTGTCTGCGGTTGTTAGTGGTTAAAATATAAGAAGATATATACTTAATTAATCCTCTATTAGGGAAATTCTTCTTCTCACTCTTTTTATACCTTAGACACACAAGCTGAAATACACACTTCATGCACTTGTGGACATGCAAACAGGGAGAGAGATGGTGGAGTGATCCACATTAGCAGCGCCCACGAGCAGTTGCTTGGGGTTAGGTTGGCTTGCTCAAGGGCACCTCAGCAGTGCAGAGGAGGTGAAACTGGCACCTCTCTAGCTTCCAGTCCACATTCGACATTGTGGTCTGTGGGATTTGAACCAGTGACCCTCCGGTTCCCAAGCCAAGTCCCTACACACTGAGCTACTGCCGTTAACGATGTATTCAAATTTTCCCAAATCTGTGAATTGTTGTCTCCCTCTGTGTACAGCATTTCCACATATCTTTTCCAGTGTTTTGTCCAGCTCTGTGTTGTGTAAGTGCTCTTTTGACACTTTCAGCTAAAAAAAGCCTCAGTGCCTCTGGACAAACAGATCGGCTTTGGTGTCCGTAGCGGTTAGCCTAATATGGTACTACGGAATGAGCAGCCAGTCCCTGGAATGTGCCAGCTAACGAAACGTTTACTTACTATTACAGGAACCACCACTGAGCCTCGTTGGTACTAATTAATATCCTCCTACTTTTATGTCAGATCTAATTCTTATCTTGGAATCTACATTCGACGTGTAAAAAAAATCCTCCTGGGTCAGTTGTAAGAAGCAGTGGGAGACTGTTATGTATGAGTTCTCCAGGTTCCTACGCAAGTCTCCATCTCTGTCTGCCTCCCGCGATCAAAGCTGCAGGCAGCCTGTCTTTGAAACGTATCATTTGTGCAATTACGAAATGAATGTGGATGTTCTTGAGCCCATTAAAACTGGAACACTGTGCTCGACTGGAGCGGAGTATTTCAGTCTGTCTGTCATTAGAAAAGTGTGATGAAATATTAAATCTGAGCATGATTCAGTGATTGGAGTGTCATTAATTAGTTCAATATCATATTGTGAGACTTATACTTTAAATCAGCCCAGTTTGACTTTGATTGTATGCCTAATACAAGTCCTACAATGAGAATAAGAAAAAATAATCCTAGAAAAGGCACCATAGAGGGGGATTCCTCAAACATGCAATGAGTGCTGAGGAAACAAAACTAAAATACAGACAATATGTTCATCATTACTATCATAGTAGGAATAACCCCCAGTGCAGGGATGTAATGTTTCAGTCACTATGGACACAAGCAATCACCTTAAGCATAAAGAAACCAAACGTATTAATGCAACACTGTCACTGCCCAGCTGCAGCCACAGAGTGAAAGGAGATAGGAAGAAGACACACTAAAGACTAACTTATTAGCTTACTCCTACTCACACAAACAGACATGAATGAACAGGGTCACACAGGATACCAAAACTGAAATTTAATTGGCAAGAATCTGAACCTGTGAAACTGAGCAGGTGGCGTCCGTGGTCAAGTTAGCAACAACAAATATGCAACGTTAGGCACAAAAACTATTTGGTTAGGATTAGGAAAAGATTGTAGATTACATTACATACCTGATGTAACTTAATAACATACCTCACATACTTTTGGTTTCACACAGGACACCAACAGCAGTCTCCTGGGTTAAAGTTCTGTGTTTTACAATTTGGGAGTTAGACAGATCAAAGATTTATGCCACACATCTGTGCATTAACATTGGATTGAGGGGAATGAATGCACAATGTTTGACAGCAGGACTTGAGCAGATACACGTGTCAAGTTCAGTACATTTCAGATTTCTTGGTTAATGAAGAACAGGACATTTACTCGTTGTTTGGCTTTTAATATGCAGAATTCTAAGTCTGGTTATTGGGGTTGTTAATTCAGTTGACTGGGTATATATTCTGTTGAGTCAAAGTCATCGGTTTAATAATGTTATGCATTGATGCCCTGACACCAATATGTGCCCAGAGCATACAAATCTTTGTGAAAATTTAAGGGGTCAAGCATGCAGGTTATGGTTTTTAATGTCCTGTAATAATGTAGAAGATAAGCTTGAATAAATTACTAATAAATAATACATTTAATAAATTAAACAGCAAGTAATTTTACCCAAGTGAGAGTCAGCACCCTTATTAGAAAATGTGCTTGTAATCTCATTTCTAATTAGAGAAATCTTGTCTTATATGTTAAAAAACAATAAAATTGTCGGCAGAGAAGGGAGAGCCATCATTGTAGACTACGGCGCAAAATAGAAAATTCAGCATTTAGACGCATATATAATTGTTTATGAGTCTATTATCACTCTATGCAAAACAGATTTTTCTAGTCTAACACGATTTACACCCTAGTTTTAACAAACTATACATTACAACACTGGGTTTTCGTGTTATTAGCAATCAAATTAAAAGAGTGTGAAACAAGGTGGTGTTTAAAATGCTGATATTAGATTATCAAAGGTGCCAAAGTATGAACAGCAGCACAAAATTCGAAACTGTGATTCTGAATTTCAGCAAAACAGCTGACTTATGTAGATAGAGGCATTATATTTTAATATTACAGATTTCTGTTCCATTTTTAAACAATTTCTTCTGCTCTGTGGTGCTGGTATAACAGATTGAATCATGTTCAGCTCTGCAGTACATGGATGAAATGAGTAATGAAACCACTGAAAACACTGGATCTTGTAGCTGATGGATTTCAACATAAATCTCACAATTTAAATTTTTTTTGACATCCAAGCCAAATAACACCCGTGTGCCCATTTCACTCACCCACTCACTATTATTCCTTATATATATATATATATATATATATATATATATATATGTATTTAAATATACATCTATTATTTAGAACAGATGCTGTACATTATTTTACATTTCTTCTCAATTTAAATTTTTTTTATCTGTCACACAGGGCCATTTTAAGTACCAATGCTAAGGCTCAGCATCTACCATAGTCTGAAGTATTACAGTCTTTTGTGCTTTTGTGTCTCAACAGGAACACACACCACGGACCAGACGCTTCTGTGTGTGTATGAGTGTTTGTGGGAGATCCCTGCTTAAGAAAAGAACCTCCTGTCCACCAGTCAGCATTCAGAGTTCGTAAGTACACTTTCTGCCTTCCATTTTCTCCCCGGTTTTTATGAACCCAAAGCTGGGATATGGTTCCTGAAAGATCTCTGTGTTAATGTCACACTGTGAGATCGTTTATATGGTAGAAAAGCTAAATCCCATTCAAAGCTAAAGGGACTATTAGACAGTACATGAATCATGTGAAGAAAGATTTCAAACTTCTTCCGTTTCAGTGTGATCTAACAAAAGGATATAAAACCTAATCTAACAAGGATTAAATGCTAAATCCTTCATCAATGTAAGCCATAGGCAAAAGCTATAGTAAAATTTTGCTTAAATGCATAACCTCTTTCTTGCTGACCGATCATTCTGCTTTAACAGGCAATTTAAAAGAGTCACACATAATTATTCCCAGCTCTTTGCCCTCTAACCTTTCCAGTTTTTCTCAAGAAACACAAGTTATATCTTGTTAGAGGTTATGAGTTATGTCCCGGTGGGAAGTTTCTGTTGTCATGATATTGCAGTGAAGGCGTGATCACACACGAAGCAATGGCTTGTGTGTGTGTGTGTGTGTGTGTGTGTGTGTGTCCTCTGCAGCTTTTGCTCACATCTGCAATTCTGCATTGATTCCATGCCAGTGAGCAGAAAGCTAATGCAGAGTGGTGGGTTCTCTGTTGTAGCCAGGTACAGCAGCCAGTGGCTATTGCCATAACAGGATGTGTGTGAGGGAGTTTAATAATGCTGCAGAGTAAATGACTGCAGTCAATACAGTAATCAAATTTGCTGCAGTCATAAGCAATTGTGTGGAAATGTACTCTGTGTATGCAATTAATAAACTGTTATAATTATGACTTTTTTTATTTTAGAATTAGATATGTTTAAGCATTCTTTCTTCAATGTATTAATGCAGCACAGTGTACTAAACACTGTTTATTGCAAAAAGAAAATACTCGTCAACGGTTGGAAGCTTTACTTAATTAGCATATGAAACACAATGTTCACAAACATCAAAAACATGTTGTTTACCCCCACAGCGCTTCGGGATTATAATCAACTCATAGGCCCATTTATTGTCTCAGAGAGATGCCACTTATGCTTGTTAGGACCTCCTCTATGCTGAATCACTGCCACGTATTTTATCACCTTGCTTTTGAACAAATTAATATGGGTCAGTATCAGAGAAAACTGAAATGAAAAAGCTTGTTGGGTGTCTTCCATTTCAGCTGAGAGTGGGTAGTGTGCTGAGCTCATATCACCAAAATCTTTGGGAGATGTTAGAATTGTAAATTTACTATCTGGACCTGTCAAAAACAGATCATTCACATTCCCAGCTTAACATGGTTAGGTTTATGTGTCATAAAATCTAATTTTATCTTTGAATTACAGAGGTATTTCACACTTAAACATGTTAACATTTGAGTCATAAACAAAATGATATGGCTGTACTGTGCAACTTTACCGCATGATATTTATATTTTAAAAAAGAGTGCAACACCCCCATCAGAGGAGGGTGGCCCACCTCCACCCGGGCTCCGCTTTGACTGGGAGTCTGTGAAACAGCTGCGCTCATTTATTAAATGTATATTGATCAAGACATATCATTCACAGGAGTTGGTGCTAGCTTTTACTAACCCTCTACTTAGTATTTTGTGGATCAGACTGCTTTAAACGGCAGGCGAAACACCAACAGACTTTATTTCCTTAATGATGATCCCACGCATGACACTCCCCTCACTTGAAGCCGTTAGCTCAGCTACAACACAGGCACCACACACAAACTTTTACAAATGGCCGCGAATGTGCTTCATGTAACAGCGCGGACATGGAGAGTCTGATAGCAGCTGGTTGGCTCTGACTACCAGCTCACTCACTGTATATATACACAATTACTATATTGGACAAACTGATATCTTGACTTTATGATGGTGCTAGGTGAAAAGTCAGCGAATATCCAAAGTTATTAGAATTCATCCTACGGTGGACACAATAGTCATTAATGTATTTCACACAGATCACAAATGTGAACCTCATGGTGGTGCCTGAGGAAAAGTAAAGGGATCACCAAAGTCAATAAGGTTAATTAAGTGGGAGCCACAAATGTCTGTACAAAATTTCTTGGCAATCCATCTTATGATTTTAGAGATATTTCAGTATTGACCAAAATGGTGGACTCACAGACAGAGCTAGCACGGCAAAAAAGTTTAATTTAAATGAGAAGCAAACATAATATACTTTTTTTCCTCTAGCTTCACAGTTGCATATTGTTGCACCCCACAAAGAAAACACCGCTCCTCCTTAAAATGTCAGTATTGCTGCTGGAGGAGAGAGGGCAGCGTCCTTCACCACCTCACAGATATTTGAGCAAACTGTGCTGAGTGGAGAAGGCCACAGAGGACCTGGCGGGCCGGGGATAGACAACATAGAGGCATCAAAAAAATCCTGTGTGATCTGCCAGGGGGAATATAAATAACTACTCAAGCATATGGAAGGTGTTGCTCTCACAGGCGGGGAGAGGAGAGTTTGTTTTTCACTCGCATCTCTATGTGTGTGTTATGCATAGTGATGTTTCTGCTGGAAAATTCCTATGTGGTCTGTTGCCTGGGCCTCTAATGATCGCTGAATGCATGTGAACGCATACTGGGGAAAAAGAATAGGGTAAACTGACAGATCAGGTAGAGGTACAGATAAGCCACTGTTACATCATCAGAAACACTTCAGATACCCAATGAAATATAAATGTGGCTACGCTGGAATTTTATTGGACAGATGATTCTGGGATAAATATTGGATATAGAGTACATGCCAAAAAAAAGGCTTAAGAAGCTAACAAACGCTAACTAGAACCCCATAGAGCCATTGAACCGTGTGAACCAGCCAGAGGCAGGTTGGACACCTGCTCAGATTAAATCGTTTCCAAAGGTTTTCATCAATGATAGATCTATTTTAATAAAGTGAAGCTGCAGTTGAACATTAACTCACAGTCACTAACAGCAATCCCCTGCAGTCAAGAGGTCTCTTTTGCTCTGTTACTGATACAGCAACTGACCTGATTCAATGGTTGTATTGATCATATTGATTAAATAACAGTTTGACTTTATACTGTAGAGACTATCCGACGAGCTGAGCTTTGCTGAGGGACCACGATGCATTTCCCTGTTGTACCGACTCCAGACATCCTGTTCAAAGTCGTAGAGCCAACATCAATGAAACAAATCCATCAAAGGCCAGGCTGGATAGCCTAGTGGGGAGCATTTACCAGTTCAAAACCAGCAGACTGATCCTCAGCCTCTGGTAGATTTCTCTTATCTAGACACAGCGACCCTTGTCTCGCTTCATCCCTGCCCCCTCTGTGCATCTTCCGCACCCTACATTTACTCATGCTTACTCCAACTACTCCATCCCCACTTCTCTCTCCCTCAGTTTTCTGTGGATATAACTTGTTTTTTTTCCCTGCTCCTTGTAGTTGAATGTTCTGTAATGGTGAGCTTACAGCAGCCATCAAACACAGTAGATTTTCTTATCTCTGGCCCCTAGAGCTGAGAGGCTCTGAGGCCCCTCAGAAGTCTTTCTTCTCCTGTTCAGATAGAGAGATGCCAGCTTCTTTAGGGGGGCTAACACAGCTGGGTTTGTGCCAACATGTTGATATTAACAACCGTGGTAAATATTGAAGCAGAGACTGCTGTTGCTAATCACCGCTGACAAAACAGTGAAATTGCAATCAGTCAATCACAGGTAGATTGTCCTTTTTTGGGGGAAAATCTGACTGAATGTAGGCCAGGTCTTATTCTGCAATCCTTGTCTTGATCTCAGAGGGATCATCATGCTTAGATAAGACAGAATGTGTGTGACGATGCTGCTTACTCATGGGTGTGCATCTTACAAGTGTACGTGAGTGTGTGTGATCATCTCCAGACTCATCAACATGGTACTCGTCTCCTGTCACAACACTGTCTGGCAATGAGCGGCTCTGTCACACTGGGTGACACAGCACTCCAATTAATCACAGAGAAGGACCACTAATGAAGTCATTATGTATTCTAAGAGTTTCATCTTGACATCCACTTTTCCCGCTTAAGACATGACTGATACAGAAATACACTTAAAAGGCTTAAAGGCATAGTGGTAATGGATTAGCAAAAATGGAGTTTGACAAGTGAAATATAGTTCTGAACAGGACGTAGTTGATGTAAAGTATTAGTCCATCTCTGCGAGTCTTGATACCAGCGTTTGTCTCACCTTTCAAATAGCAATTAAGATTTGTTTTTCTTGCCTCTTATATTAACGGGACCAAGAACAAAGTGCTTTAGTCCCACTTTCCCCTTGGGCAAACAACGTCATAGTCAGAGTCGGATCTGTATCCAAAGGTCAGGTACTCATTATTATGGTCAAAATCAAAGAATAAAGACTGCTCTGTGTAGCAGACACTTATAAAGTGAGATATGTACATCCTCATAAACAATGCTAAAAGACTGAAGGCTAAATTTCTCTGTACAGTATGTACCGTCTTTGTTTATTGCATTTCCTTGTTTCCCAGACCTCTGATGAAACATCCACATTAATCAGTACTTCCAACTAGTCTGCTCACACACATTATGCAACTCATGAAACTCTACACATACAGCATCATCAGATACTAATGTTGAATTAATGAAAAGTTTGATTATTTTGGCCTACTGGGGGCTTATCAGTAGAAAAGTCTTCTAATTCCAGCTTCACCATGCACTCAAATTTGATATGTTGTGTCCTTCACAGAAGTCATACTGCACAAAAATCTCCATTATGAGGTCATTTTGAGAAATGGGAAAACATAATTAAGTGGCAGCCAACTGCCATTTAACTGACAGCTGCCCCTGAACGCTGTCATGTAGGCCAAATTCTCTAGAAATGTGACACCTTAAAACCATGAACCTGTAATGCAAGAAAGGACCAAATACAACCTGAAATGAATAAAAACATCTGTGAAGTTGACAGTGTTGTTTTTTGTGAGGCTGTAAAATTGTATTCTTGCATTAGATTTTGTTGTATTATAA